TGAGGGGGGGCTGTGGGCAGTGTGGGGAGCGGCGGCGGTGCTTGGAAGGGGTTGTGGGCAGTGTGGGGAGTGGCGGCACTGTTTCGGGGGGGGTCTGTCGGCCAATGCCCCAGACAAAGTGGGGAAAAAAAAAAAAAAAAGTGTGTGAATGTGTGTGTGTGTGTGTGTGTGTGTGTGAATGCTCCTCTTTTTTTTCGAGGGGTGGTTGGCGAATCCCCCCAACACGGCTCAGACAGTCATTGCAGGCTTTCTGAAGGCTCGTCGCAACCATGTGGCGCAGACCCCCACACCAAATGGAAGGCACGCAGTGAATGTGAGGAAGAGCAGGAGCTGACCGAATATATACTTAACATTTGGATTGAGGTCTGTGTTTCAGCAGTTATGGGTTGCTTGTGTAGCTAAGCGTGCACGTGATTCTCAGGGTTTGGCTGCACTACTCACCAAATATGCAAAACAGGAATGAATCTTCTGCAGAACGTGGAATAATACGCTGCCATATCTTTTTTTTTTTTCCTCGTTTTTCTTTTTTTTTGCTTTTTCTATTCTTAGGAATACGTGCAGTGCCCCAAAAAGAAAAAGAAAAGAAAAGAAAAACGACAAAACATATGGCGGCATATTATTTCACGTTCTACAGCAAATTCATTCTTGTTTTGTACATTTGGTGAGTAGTGCAGCCAAGCCCAGAGAATGAGCAGCAGGCCTAGCTACACGAGTAACCCATAACTACTGAAACACAGACCTCAATTCAAATCTTGAGTATATATTCGGGCAGCTCGTGTTGTACTCCATATTCTCTGTCTGCCTTCATTTCGGTGGGGCGGGTCTGCGCTACATGGCGGCAAGGACCCCTTCATATAGCCTGCATGGGCCGTGAGAAAAAAAAAAAAAAAGGAGTGCATGTGTCAGTGTGTGTAAATATTTGTGTGTGTTGTTGTGAGGGTGTCTATGTTTGGTGGGGGTATTTCATTTTTTTTTTTTTTACTTCATTTTCTGCATGGCCGTAGTCCTCGACGTGCGCCACCTTCCTTGGGGTCACGTTCAATTTTCTCGCGCTCCTTCGCACGCAGCGCGTTTGAACGCAATTGAACGCGACCCCGGGGGAAATGAACGCGCGCGTTTGAACGTGAACGCGTGTTCGACGCGTTCAACCGGTTACATAGTTTTATGGTCGTGTCCACAAACCCATCCATAAGTGTTTTGAGCGATGGTTACGTCATGATCCTCCTTCATAATTTTTTCGTCTTCGTTCATCGATGTCATCTGCATTGGAAACATTTGCACTTGCAGAATAGTCATTATGAATAAGGAAAGATACTTTGCATTGACCTCGAACAGTTACCGCTGCATAAAACAAGGTCATCACGTTGAAATTAATGTGGTAGAATTTGACTGCTGAATAATACAATTTTGAAAAGGGTGCGAGCACTTCTCGCGGGTATGTTCTCGTTCCACAACACCTGCGAGCACAAATATATTCTCGAGGATAGTGTTCCCAGTCATCCGGTGGGGCATCCACACCTCTGACACTGAGTATTGAACTGTCAAAGATCACTTCAGATCTGAAGAAAATAAGACCCATATCATACCATATATTTCTTCCCCATACCATATTACTTGACGGTCATCCAGTCGTCACAAATGGTTGAACCATTTTGCAACACATGAAAAATACAGCTTAAATATATATAAATGAAAGCTCAGTGACTAAATAATGTACTAATACGTGTAAAAGAAATACGATTAGCTTTTTTTCAAGACATATTTAAAGCCTACTGATCTTTATCATCGGGAAGTGAAAGGCATACCAAGACCTTCTCTCTGACCAATTTAGGAATGTGGACGTCATTTTTTAAACGCAATGTCTTTGATGTCCAGCTCCACACAACACAGTCTACATGCTGTCAATGCTATGATGTTGTGTTGTTTTGTTTCCACGTTTTCTTCCTTGCGTTCGAATATTGCACAGAAAGACGTTTGGGAACAGGTTGTGGCACCCAATATTCAATAAGAATATGATTGAAAGTTGGCGACTTCACATCGTTGTCTACATCGGAAATGACTCTACCCATCCATACGGGAACTCCCTCATCGATATCATCTTGGGAAGGACGTAAGAGAACGAATTGATTTTTTTCGACATCTACAATTGGGTTGAGCTCTGCTTTTGGACGCTCATTGGCTGGTCCAACAAACAACGACTCCGTATTCTTATTGCTCTTCAAGATGAAAGCAATATCAATATTGTCAGCATCATCGTTCTTAATTATGTCCTGTGAGGGTCAAAAGTCAGCATTGAGTGATGTTTTTGCACAGCTAGACCCATAATTTTCCTCGACTGTCTCAAGGAAAGTTTTCCAGTGTGAAAGAGCACTCTCCTTTGAGAAGCTAACCTCATCTTTCATTCTCAACCACTTATGCCGCTTGTTCTCCAACCACCCAACAAACGTCTTCACTCCTTCAATTCTTGATTCGAAATCCAGATTCCTATCTTTAATAGGCAGAGCAGCTGACGGCGGGGCATGTGATGGCTGGAATGGTCATTTGGGTCCAGCATATGCTTTGTTTCCATCTCGTTTAAAGCAATAGACTGAAGTAGACCATTCAGGAGAAGTGCAATACTCTTTCCACTGGAACACAGGATTGTCATCCTGCATGTAAAACTTAAATGCATGTGGACGAGTATGACCGGTCAGTCTCTTGACCAAGAAGGGCTTAACAACACCTCGCCAATCAGCAATTTCATCCATGAATGTGCACGATGGACGCTCTTTTGGGGAACTGGGAACGAACTTGAAGAGGTCGAGCATGGTATAAGCATCGTGCATTTTCAGTTTGCGAGAGACATGACTGAAAGTGACATCAACGCTCGTATGTGTGTGTCCCACTAACATAAAATCGAATTCGACTTCTTTGAAGAAGCCAAATTTCACTAAAGTTGCAGCAAGTGCTAAAATGTATCTGTTTTTGTTTTCTCTCCAACAGTTGTCTGCTTGTATTCTCAGTTTAGGAGACAAGTCGCTTGTCGTATGGATGTCACGCAAAACTTTCATAATGGATGACACCACAACATTAGAATCGTGTAAATAGAAAGGGTACCATGTGTGAACATGGACCGATGGTGAACGGTCGTGTGCAATAATAAATGTTAAATTAGTTTTCAACATCGGAATATTTGCGAATGCCTTCGATTTGTTTTCTCCGCCAAAGTGTGGAATACTGATCTTGCTTTGGTCCATGTCGTCAATAATGATGCATAAACTATTGGAACCTAGTCTCTTTGACTCATCCTTCCACACCTCATACGCAGCACTATGTTGGAGATGCAAGTCCCAAGTGTTTCTCGCGTACCGAAATGAAGTACTCACGCACACGTACGAACTTTGCAGAATTGATAGATTCTTTGTATTCGACAAATTTCTCGCATTTCGCAAAGTTTTGATCAATGTCACGAAATTTTACATGCCAGAACTGTGTTCTCCACATGTTGTAGAAGACTTGGAGAGAAACACAAATAACACCATGTTGTCGAATTGTGACTTTAGCAACTTATAAATATCAACCTTGTTATAGCAAGCAGGCAATCTCAACACCACTCTCGCTTACAACAAACTTGTCCACGCACACTCGTCAGCGCTTTTTTGGTGAGTTTTCTATGAACTGATTGCATAATCTTCTTTGACCGTGGCATTCTGACACGAAAAGTATAAGGACACTTCTCTGAGGACAGACGTTTCGGAAAAATGTCATCGTAATCATAGATGACATCACAATTCTCATCGGCATTTCGACAACAGTGATCAGTGTCCCGGTTAGCGTACGTTTGCGGATGACTGATTTTATCTTGAGAGTTATCTGCGCTAGACGGCACTGAAGCACTTGAATCTGAACCATCTTCATCACTCTCACCAAACAGAAGACCTGTGTACTCGAAATCTTGAAGTGAGTTCCTTGGCACCCACACAACACGGTCTACATCGGATGTGTTGTTGTCAGCAGAGGGGACCTTACCCTCCTGACCTTCCGCACTGTCTGCATCAGAGGTTTGAACCAGGCAGCGCATAACCGGATACGCACTTTCACATGTAGTGTCTGCACACGCAATAATCCATGACCTCTTATGAGCAGGAGATTCCGGAATATTATTGACACGTTCGTGACCACTTCGAACATCTTGTGAACACATTGGTAGATCCGGTGGAGGAAAATCCTCATTGAGCATTGTATTAGATGCCACACAGTCCATGCTTTCCAAGGTTGTGCTGCAATCCTGCCGGGGCATAGCATGCACACCACAAACCATGTACGAAACGTGTCTACGACAAGAAAACAGCGGACCACTGTCAAAGGCGCAAGACATGCAACAGAGTGTGACGGAAATCAGAGATTAATGAAAGGGAACAGTCAACCAGCCCTACATAAACGACAGCGAGAAACACAGCCTTATAAACGACAGCGAGAAACATAGCCCTATAAACGACAACGAGAAACACAGCCCTACACGGGACGGAGGGGAACAGGAAACATTCGAACGGGGATAGCACACCACCTTAGAATGTGAGCATCGAGATGAAACATTTACAAGGGCACAGGGATCGGGTTCGAAGCATAAAGAATTGGTGACGGGTGAGGACTCATTAGTCCAGTCATCGGGGCAATCAGTTTGGCACATGCCACGTTGGGCACCAGTATCGGAAAGGCAGAGATCGAACGAACGAGAGCGGGAAACGTAGCACATGTCACGTTGGGCACCAGTATCGGAAAGACAGAGATCATGACGCGCAAAACACAGCGGGCACCAGCAACGGAAAGGCGGAGATCCAAACGCGCAAAACACAGCCTGACCTGAGAGCATTGAGAGGAAACATTCAGAACGACACAAGTTTGTAGAACAGAGAACCGATGTTGTTCGAGGAACTTTAACGACGGCACACGAGGAGTTCCCAAAACCCAGAGTGAGCAGGAAAACGACTGTGGCAACGCGACAATCTCGTCCAACACGGAAGAGACCCCGCTCTTGATTTTCGGGGACTAGACTCTGCGGATTCAAAGCAAAATTTGTGCAGAGATCGAACACGATGTCGGTCGAGGAACTCTAGCGACGGCACACGACGGGCTCCTAGACCCCCAGACTGAGCAGGCAAACGACCGTGGTAACGCGACCGTGGTGTCCAGCACGAAAGGGACTCCATTTCATATTATCACAATCTTCCAATTCACAATCAGTGTAATGAAAGATAAAAGACAGTCATCCGGGCACTATGTTCTGCGGGTGCAACTCGCACAGGACTGTTTGCCACGCATGCAAGTCGAAGCACTTCTCTCGAACGGGAGTGACTGTGGCAGATCGCCCACGAGCAGGAGTGCGCCCCAAGGTGGTGGTCCGATCCGACCCGTGCCGGCGGGACGACGTCGACATGGAAGATAAGGGTTGTCCGGGAGAGTAGCTACCGCAGCGACCGTCGTCGCGTTGAACAAGACGGCAATAGTTTTTTGCTGCGGTCCCGTCGTGTCGAACACGGACGCTGTGCTTTGAGTCGTGTCCCACATGACTTGGGGACTGCCTGATCGTGACCCGTCCACGGGTCCGACACGAGGACGACATGGAAATGAAGAAGACGGTCGTGCTTGACGGTTGTTTCTACCGTGGAACGCGGTACCTGTATCGACCGTGGCAGTGTCGAACAAGTAGACGCTCATTTCTTTCACTGTCTCGTCGGTTATATCTTCCGCGGTCTTGTCCTGTCGAACACGACAGTAAACAGTCTGCAGACAGCACAGCTCGCGCCGAACATGACACACGTTGTGCCGTGTGCCGACACCAGTTAGCCCGCAGCGTCCGTTGTTGTGTCGAACACGAAGTCGGTTTTTTCTTTCCTGGAACCCGGGAGCTGCAGTGCCGTTGGCGTGGCGAACACGACGACGGTGCTGTCTTCCGAGGTTCCGTCGTGTCGGACATGTCGGTTCCGTCGTGTCGAACACGAACGATGTGCCCTGTTCGACCCCACTCGGGGACTGCGTCATCGACGACGATTGTTTCTTCCCTGAACCTGCACCGTACGTTGCCGTGTCGAACATGATGCTGGTCGTGCTCGATAAGATGACGGTCGTGTCCGACACCTCGATGATCGTGTTCGACACGACGGCGGGCGTGCTCGACACGATGACGATCGAACGGCGGTCGTGTCCGACACGACGACGATCGTGTTCGACACGACGACCTGCGCAAATAAACGCCATAAAGAATTGTTGGAGGGAATTTATTGATGTCACCAAGAAACCAACATACGATAGGGCAGGCCACAAAGGTTTTTTTCTTTGTTCCGCAGGGGGGGGGGGGAGTAGGGCGGGCTCGGGCAATCAAGGAAGCGGCACTGACCTGGGGAGCGGCCGAGTTGTCGTGTTAACGCTGGCGGACTGCAGCGCTGATTCTCCCAGCACACGAACAACAGAGCGCTGACAAAAGGTCGTGGCTACTCATGTGCGTGAAACGCTCTGGTGTGGCAGAGGGATGTACTCTGGCGTGAAATGTTATCCCCGCTCCTCCGCTTTGCCCTTGGCCCAATCCAGGGGGAAAAAACGATCCTGGTCGTCAGCCACCCGACGGTTCGATGAACAAGATTCACCGGGGGGGAAATAGGGTGGTGCACTGGCCGCACCACCGGATCCCCGCCTGCAGCCAGTTGATCATCCCGACCGTCCGCATTCCCGGATCCGACGGCCACCACGCGCGTCCAGAGGGCCCACCCGAAAACGTATATATATGGAGGGGGCCCACCACTTCCCATTTTCTGTTTCAGGTGGACAACGCAGCAATAGCGCAGCGCATCGGAGGTTCGTTGACGCAGCAACAGCGCAGCGCAGCGGAGGCTCATGCACAGCAGACTACGTGCACGTCGCAGCGACGGAGCGCACCAGGGATTCGTTGACGCAGCGGAGGTTCGTGCATAGCAGACCACCTGCGTGACGCGACGACGGACCACAGCGAAGGTGCCGACGGTCGCAGGTCTCGACGACGGAGGCGAGCAGACGACCCCAGGACGTGACGCGCAGCCACAACGGAGCACCCCGAGTCTGCAGGATCAGACGGTGAGGACACAACCAGCAAGCTCAGACGCAACCACGTAATGCCACGTGGTACTTACGGCTGACAGCGGTCGTGCCGAACACGACGACCGAAGGAGCACTGTTGAGTCGAACACAAAAATGGACCGGAGCAGGAGTTGTCTCGAACACGGCGATCAGGCCAGTTGTTGAATTGAACTCGACGACCGAGCGAATTGTCGTGTCGAATACCGGCCGTAGTGCTGTGTCGCCGAGCCGGACACCGTCGTCGTGCCGAACACGATCGTCGAGTCGAACACGATCGTCGAGTCGAACGCACACCATCGTCCGTTCGAGCATGATTGTCGTGTCCGACTCGACGATCGTGTTCGACATCGTGTCCGACTCGACGATAGTGTTCGACACGACGAACGTGTTCGGCACGACGGTCGTCGAGGGCTCGACGGTCGTTGAGAGCACGATGGATTCAATCGCCGAGTCGAACACGATCGTCGTGTCTAACATGATCGTCGAGTCGAACACGGTCGTCGAGGCCAACATGATCGTCGAGTCGAACACGATCGTCGAGTCCGACACGATCGTCGAGTTGAACATGATCGTCGAGTCGAACACGATGCGACACGATCGTCGAGTCAAACATGATTGTCCGATGTGATCGTCGAGTCGAACACGATTGTCGAGTCCAACACTCGTCGAGTCGAACACGATGCGACGATCGTCGAGTTCGACACGATCGTCGAGTTGAACACGATTGTCCGATGCGATCGTCGACTCGAACACGATCGTCGAGTCGAACACGATCGTCAAGTCCGACACTGTCCTGAAGTCGAACACGATCGTCGAGTCCGACACGATCGTCGAGTCGAACACGATCGTTGAGTGTGACACGATCGTCGAGTCCGACACGATTCTCCGACACATTCGTCAAGTAGAACACGAATGTCTGACTCGATCGTCGAGTTCGACACGATCGTCGAGTCGAGCACGATTGTTCAATGCATCGATCGTGTTCGACACGACGATCGTGTTCGACTCCACGATCGTGTCGGACTCGACGATCGTGTTCGACTCGACGATCGTGTTCAACTCGACGATCGTGTTCGACTCGACGACCGTTGTGCTGGACACGACCGTCGTGTTGAACACGAGGACCGACGACTTCGTTGAGTGGATCCGTCTGCGTCCAAGTGGTTATTTTTCTTCGTCTGCCGTGCCCTAGGCTGTTTGTATCATGTGCAGGGAGACGTCGATTGTGTGTGTGGATTGTGTGCATGGATTGTGTGCATGGCAGGCCTGTGCAGTGCAATGTCGTGCGACCTTGATTGTTTGCATTGTTGAGGCGAGGACAATTGTTTTATATTGTTGTTGATCGTTGCACTTATGCCATGCAGGGCGCTTCACTGTCGCTATGGAGATCTCTCGCTGGATGACCCCGGCAGTTTGGCATGCACGAAAGGCACACCCTCTCCCACCTTGCGCGCTACACGTCCGACGATGTCTGGGCCGCACAACCATCGACGGCGCTTGTATTGCAGACGTCGAGTCCGATCCTTGGATGACAGTCGTCCCGTTTATTGACAAACATTTGGACTCCTGGAAAAAGTATCAGTGGGAGAATATAATTAAGACGTAGCCGTGGGCGGGCAATTATGAGTTCGCCAATATGTTGGAATTCGGAAAACGTATTGTTGTGTCGTCCGATGTGTTGGGTCCCGTGCATTTGCATCATTTGTGTAAGAAGTTGAAATTTAGCCACCTTTTTGGTATTCTAGATTGCAAATACATGACATCCTCACCGCGCACATGGTGCCGTGTTATGAAGCAGGAGTTACTCGGCTGTGCGCGACATTTGCAGTTCCTCGATCAGTATTCATTGCGATCTCCGGGTCTGTCGCCTCGAGCACTGTCATATTGTTGTGTGAGATTGCGTATGGGATGCTTCATCTTTTGTACGGTCCTCTGCATTGCCTTTTCGGACAGGGCAAGGAACTTGATAGACGATGTCGTGTATGTGTCAAGGAACGAGTTGTCTATGTCCGGAAGGGATATGAGTTTGGTCAAAGAGAAGTCGATGGGAAACAAGATATGGAGGACGTCGGCGCTTGGCGCGAGGTCGAGGCAAAAGTGGTTTCTATTCGGGATACTATAGGCAGTTCTCTCGTCGGAAACTCCGGGTTCGTACGCATGACATACATTTTTGTGTTTGCTGAGAACTCTCTCGTCGACGAGCCGCAGCGGCTGACCTTTGGATCGGCACTTGGCATATTGGATGGCCGCAACAGAGGGAGAATTCGCCATCGTCCATAGATAGTAGTCGTCGATCCCCTTGGTCGCTGGATTTTTTTCGACGTGTGATGCTTTCGCAAGTTGTCGACACTGTCGTCTTCGCTAGGTGTTCTTCGTCGTTCCCCTGGGTGCTTTCGCAATTTGTCGGTTCTGTCGTCGTCGTGGCTGGCGTTGTCTACACTAGGTGTTCTTCGGTTCTTCTGTTTGTCCGACGCTTCCAGTGTCGACGTCTGGGGAGCGTTGTGTTTTTCAATGTGATGAGACCGCTGTTGGGAGTTTTTTTTTTTTTTTGCGTTCAACAATGACACATCGCTGCCTTTCCATTTATTCGGACTGTATCTTCATGGACTTCGCATTGAGCGAAAAGTACGCAGTGTCTGATTGTTGTTTTTTCTTGCGAAAAATATGCAGTGTCTGATTGTTGTTCTCATGTTGTCTTTTCTCGAGAAAAATACGCAGTGCCTGATTGTTGTTCTCATTGTGTGTTTTCTTGTCCTGATCATGTTTTTCGATATCCAGAAATCCGGAAACGAAGACGGATGAACGAAGACACATAAACCCCCGGCCTGTGAGACCTAGGGAGGTCCACTTGCGACCGTCGAGATGGACACAACCACGAGTTGAAGGGGCAGTGTCGTGTTCACGCGATATTGGCCTGCATTCGTCGTCGTGTCCAACTCGATCGTGCGGGTTTTTCCCCCACGACATCTCTCGTCTTCTGTTGTCGTGTTCGATTAGATCGTGCACAAAAGAGTGTGTGCGTCCTTGCCCGGCCTCAGGCCCTGCGCTTACCGCCGTCGAGTGGGATACAACCACGAGTTGAAGGGACAGTGTCGTGGTCGTGCGATGTTGCCCCGCTTTAATGCTCGTGTCCGACGAGAACGTGCAGGTCGTTCGCCTGCGACATCTGCCGTCCGTTGTTTGTCGTGTTCGACACGATAGTCACCGGACAGTGCGTGCGTCTTTCAGCGACCTCATGACGTCCGCTTCATACCGTCGAGTCGGACACGATGACGAGTTGAAGGGACATTATGGTCGTCACGCTGTATTGCCCCGCTATTGTCCTCGTGTCCGACTCGACCGTGTAGGTTGTTCGCGAAGCACATCTCCAGTGCTCTGTTTGTCGAGTTCGACACGTTGTTCAGCACACACGTCTTCGCCCGCCCTCATGATGTGCACTCAGGACCTGCGCTTACCAACGTCGAGTCGGACACGACCACGAGTTGAAGGGACAGTATCGTGGTCACTCGACATTGCCCCGCTTTCATGCTCGTGTGCGGCTCGGCAGTGCGCGCTCTGTTTGTGGAGTTCGACACGATGGTCGTCTAGTGTCCCCCTGCTGTTGTTGGCCCAACGCATCTCCACTGCTCTGTTTGTCGAGTTCGACACGCTGTTCAGCACACACGTCTTTGCCCGCACTCGTGACGTGCAGTTAGGACCTGCGCTTACCAACGTCGAGTCGGACACGACCACGAGTTGAAGGGACATTGTCGTTGTCACTCGACATTGCCCCGCTTTCATGCTCGTGTACGGCTCGACAATGCGCGCTCTGTTTGTCGAGTTCGACACGATGGTCGTCCAGTGTCCCGCTGCTGTTGTTGCATGTTCTTGTCTAATGTTGTTTTCGATTCCTATGGTGTCTGCGCATCTGTAAGGCAATGACTGCGTTCGCACTTGTGTGTTTTCTTTCAGCTGCGACTAGCCTCTTAAGACGGATCAGGAGGGGAAGCCAAGCAAACGGTGTACTAGTAGAAGTTCCGGGAGCATGGAGCAATCTCCGAAAAAAACGAAGGGGACACCGACCACTGGCGTGGGGACTGAGGAGAGACCAGGGTCTAAGGGCCAATGAACCCCGGTGCTGGGGGGTGCGCCTTCTACGGGCACTCCTTCCACTCGTGTTCGCGGTTATGGACCAGATGTGGCTGTGTTGATGAGTGGCGGACCTGCGGGTCAGGAGGAGGTGACTGGTGGTCGGCAGGGGAAATATGCGATAGACGTTGTGCCTAGGCGTAAAAGGTCTGGTGAAACGTCCGTAGCAGGTGTGAGAGACAAGGTGCTCGTCGTCGACCACAAAGACAAGTACTGGATGTTGGACTGGGTGGGTGAAATCAGGCAACCCTCGAGTGGACTAGTTCTGTATGTAGTGATCAAAGATAACATTGTACCGATTGACGGTGTGGTGAAGTGGAGTGGACGAGGTACATCGTTGGCCATGTTGGCGTTGACGATGGTCCTTAACGCTAAAGGTCAGCGGATGACAGATGTCAAACTCGTTGCTCTTCGCTGGGCCAAACACGCTAAATACGGCAAGACGCTTTTTGATATTTTCAATCCGCTGGGGACGAGGAAATTGACGTTGCCAGACCTTCCATCGGTTTTCGCATTCTTCGATAGTAATGTGGTCGCAGGGCAGGAGCCGATGGCGCATGCTAAAGACCGCATATCTGAGCCGAAAAGTGTGCTTTCGTCATCCTTGGAGGCGGCTCCCTCGTCGAGACCTCTCACTATAGGTGTCCGCCCTCCGCAGTCCCTTCGGACTCTAGTTGCTGCAACGCGAGTTCCGAAATCTGGGCAGATCGGGGAGAAAGGTCCGTGTCGCGGCCAAATCATGTCGTCAGCCCCTGTGAAGTCCAAAACAACATCAACCAAGGAAACCTTTTCCTTGGTCCGCGCAACGCATTGTGACTTCGTCGTGCCAAGCCATGATGAGGGGGGGCCGCAATATTTTGGAGATGACGACGAGGAGAACAGCGAGGAAGATTCAGAGCGCGATGGAGAACGCGAAGAATATGAGGAGGGTGGCGATGAGAAAGGAAAGCGTGAGGAAGAACAAAAAGGAGACAGTGAGTAGACTATCAGCAAGAGGGGTGGCGAATTAAAGGATGGAATGGGGATGGAATATTAGGGTGAAGGGCAAGAAGAGGAAGCGACCAACGAGGGAGGACATGAAGATGTGCATCGGGGTCGCGAACGAGAGCAACAGCTCCCGCCAGGACATGGACATTGGGATGTGGATCGAGGGCGCGGGGGAATACATCACAAAATGATGGTCGTAACGCATGCCGATGCAGCACAGCTGGCTGAGAAGAAGAGGAAGATCAGGCAAGAGAGGAGAAGTGCTTTGGACAGTAAGAGAACCAAGCAGGAGGAGGGAACCAAGTAGGAGGGGGGTCACAAACACAAGTTGAAACTGCTGCCAATGGATGAGGCGGTCCAGCGTAGTCGGGAGGCTGAGGAGGCCACGAAGAAAAAACGGCAGCCAAGGAAAAAAACAGCGAAGGGAGGTGTGATGGAAAAAACTTCCGTTTTCCCAGCGGACCACCCGCCGTCAGATGAAGACCTTGTGGGCAAGACAGTCACCAGACCGCCAAGTTTGCAGATTCTGCCGCCGGAAAACTCTTCTGGTCATCTGGGCAAGGCTTCTTCCTTGAGTTTGATGAGAATGGTAACCAGAGGCCGGACATGCTGCTCATTTCTGTCAAGTTTGACATGATTCAGGATATCCCGGACGAGGAGTTCAGATATAATCAACGCTTTCTCGGTCAGCGGCATGTTGATGACATTTACGACGCAATGGTTGAATCGGGTGAGGCAGCTATCAGAGAGAGAACGACCGGAGCAGCCGGGGTGAATGTATGTACGTTATATGAAAAGCCTGTCCTTTTGTTGGTTGGGCTACATGATACAATGCATACTGACACTTCCGAAACAAATGTGAGAGCAAGAAGA